CCCGCCTGCTTGTTGATATAACCAAAACTATCAGTATGATGCGAAGTGATATGTGTAGGCATTTTTAGACCCATTTCTCTTTAACAGGAATTTCATATACTTCATCACCCGCAGTGATAGTGTAACATGCTGAAAATGCACCAACTCGGATGGAAAAAGCCTACTTTGATTTGATTTGACATATGGCGTAGTTATGGAGTTGCGCACTTGCATTCATTCTCTTCCGCGGGTTTTGTCCACTTGCTTTGAAGTGCCACCATCCATCATTCTTGCTCATGTGACTACTACTATAGTGAGGTTAATGAAACCAATGGATGCATCACCATCATGGCTACTGACCGTAGTAAGCTAATTGAAACAAAATCAAGTATCTTTTTACGGTGGAACAAAGCATTATAGAAATGCCAAAGTGAAGGATGTACGCAATGTGATCTACATGAGAAAGCAACACAGAGGATAAAGTGGAAGAGGACAAATATGCCTGGGAGCGCTTACCAAATCGTATTTAGTGAACAGCGTGGAAAGGAACTGGGATCCTAGAAGAGATATTTCAGTGCTGCAATCTGAAGGGACAAAAAACCTGAAAAACGAAGTATTGGGGGAGTCAAAAACAGCTAGCATAAAAAAGGATGATGCAACAACGTTGAGCGATATTGGTTAGGGTTTCCCGAAGAAAAGTAAGAACGCTAGATAAGAGAGAAATGGTTGAATGAGGAGAATGAAAACAAAAGGTTTGATAAGAAAACGAGACGATAGATACCGACAGATCAAGTCGAGAACATAAGTCTTACGTAACCAACAAACAGAAGGCAAACTTTAGACAGCGAGTGTTCGTGTCTGAAAATTAATTAAAGCGACACAGCAAAGTGATTAAAAAATAAATTAAAACTGGACACAAATTTTCTGCAATGTAGTTAACTAGGAAAAAGCAATGACCTGACGATAGGATGGAGAATGAAGGATGGTGGAAGGATGAAGGATGGTAGAATAACAATCCACAACAGGTCAGTTAATCGAAGGTATAAAGTGCGGCAAACAGGTGGTAGACTCAATTGTCGTTATGTCACCATGAAATGTCCAAAAAAGCACCAGAAAATTGGGAGGAGCAAACGACTTATTGGAAAACAGAAAATAATAAAGTTCTCTAAGACCAGCAAGCCAACGACTACAACTGAATAAATGAAGTAGCATCACAGACGTTAGGGCAGTTAGCGTGGCCGATGCCCAAGATACCACCGAGGAAGACAGTGCGTACCGCCACGGTTCACTGTATTTCGGTCAGACTCTCCTCAGTACTGAAATAGTGCCTAGTTCGTTTTAGTATCGTCAAACAACGCAAGCCGAGGTAAACCGTTCGCAAGTATGTGAAGAGCATGGTGGGGCTGGCACAGGCGCAAAATCCGTATGTCGCCAATACAACGAACGCATCAGTGGTCAACGATGACAATTGTTTCGGGCGACCAACACGCATTGGAAATATGCATGCTCCGAATAATTGCAATGAAGCGTTGCACACCGCGTTTCTGAACGACAAACAGATGCTACCACGTTATGCTTAAATGATTAGTCATACGAGTCTTGATATTTTGAGCAGTATCCTATTGAGCAGCCTAGTCGCCAGAAACAATACAGTTACAATGATGAGTAAACCGATCGATCATTTCGTGTGATGATTCAATGAATGCGAAAACTGCGTGTCGTAACAATACTTAGAACGCTGATGGTGCGAAACACCCACCGCATCTTGTACCACAATGCGTAAGTTTGTTTAGTGCTTACATAACAGTTGCACTCGACCTGAAGTGAGCGATGTCCGCCACGTACCCTAAGTTAATCGGACTGTTGTGCAGTAAAAGAATTCAACTCATGGTCACCACTGATACTTGGGAGCAAAAAGTGAACAGGTACAGTAAACCTCATGAGTTCCATTTGATGCAGTAAGTTATGAAACCGTTTCGCGCAGACTTGTAACTCGGTCTGGGCGTCGCATTTTAGTGATAGTGGAGGAAATGAAGGGAAATATTACTGGAAGATGCACTGCAAATACACAATACAAAAGTGCGTTAGCAACATAAATCAAGAGCAACTACCAAGCCAAAGGAAGACTACCATGATAAGCTATTTGTACATGTGACGTGCAACCAGTGGTCGGGAAAGCAGAGATACAGCTAATGCACTTCACATCGAAAGGAAAGCCAGTTTGGTTGAAAACATTACCAGGAGCAAGGAGGCGGGAGAGGTTTCATGAAACTGATGACGAAAGTGACAACCCGATGAATTTCGCGAAATGTGTTCTGCTATATTCCGAAGAGCGCACTGACAGTTGCTAGTCAGCAGTCACAAGGAGTATCCACGTTGCTCCGAGCGGCGTCGAAGGGAATAGCTAGATAGGCATGAGATCTCTTCACAACAATGATGAAAGAAGTAGCCTGGGTCCAGTGCCATTTTTACTCTACTTTGACACAAACTAGCGTCGTATTTCGTCGATGAAAGATTCAAATGATCGAAGTAGTGACCCTGAAGTAAATGAGTCAACTTTGAAGGGTATGGCAAGATGCATAATTATATGTGTATGAGAGAGAGAGGGAGTCGGATACTCGTTTATTGTTATGACTCCTTCTTGGTTACGCTAGGTTCTGACGATCTGTGACACTGAGTTCAATAGGGCCGTGGTTTCACCTTCGCCTTATCAGGGTTGGTGTCGTCGCCGTGGGGGACATATGAAAACATGGCTCCCTGCAGTGAAATCCGACGTTGATCCTCTGGGGATCCAGGTTTTGCATGATATTCGTCAATAGAGAAAGCATTGGATCAGTATCTGCATGGAGCTTG